GACCTCAGAGATAAGCTGGTCCCGCTGCTGCCACTTGACATTCCAAGTACTTCATCATGATGTTCCTGTCCAGCCCACTGCCTCTGGATTCTATTGTTTCCGGACAGTAACTCTCAACTCTACCCTTTATTAACTGCCCCAGTACATCTGGGCTGTGGACCAGACAAGATAAGACCTACAAGTATGCCATCATGAGGAAACCCTGCTGATGTGCAAGCTCACATACGAGATCTGAACTACCGGCACTTAAAAACAAGAGCCAGATCTGTGATCAGCTTTATGCCTTTATGTCTTTACCTGTGTTCCATGCCTTTTATTGTTACATTACCTTAACTGAGGTTATTACTGACCAAAAGGCTGGTGACTTGAAAAAAGCTTATCTCAAAAACAAACTTTGAGCAACACTGAATAAGGCAAGTTTGACAGAGTTCTAGGTTTGCCCAATAAATATCTCTTATTCATTTTTGGTGTTCTCATATCTAGGTAAGTGCACAGAAATGGAAGCTTGTCAAGTTTACCAGAAATCATCAGGTCGGCATTACAAATGATAATGACTGCTAGAATTGTTAAAATTTGAGTTATGACAGGATGTATCCTTAAAATAATGAGTTCTAATAAAAAATTATGTGTATCACTACTATTAGTGTTATTACAAGAGTTCAGTAATATTTGGGGCAAAGATTTGCATCTTTAGGGAAATTATGTAATAGATTCTGTGATTTTCATAGAATTACTGATTCATCAAATTCAAAAATTTAGAATAGAATTCAATATAGTTATTAAAATTAGTATTTATAAAATGACTTAAGTATTTCCCTTAATCCCTGAATCACTGTAATTAGTTAAGAAACACTCTTGCAATTACCATGAAGTAACGAATTATCTGCAAAAACATACAATATTTTGTTTTATTACAAGTATATAGTTGATAAAGCTATGTCAAAATATATTTAGCTGGAATTTTTTAAGTCATATCACAGCTGCCAGAACCAGTATTGCATCTTTACAAATACTGAAAAGCTAGACTAGAACTCAGTATTTGACTTTCCAGGTTGCCATGGCAGCTTTTATTCAAGGAAGAAAACAATCTATTATTTACCTAAGAATGTAGACACACAAGTTGTTAAGTTCCAGTCTGGTCAGCTGTTCAGCCAAGGCATAGAATAGATGTCTCAAAAATGTGACATTTTAAATTATTCAAATCATATTTTTTATAGGAGTAATGATATATAACAATTTGTCAAGAGTCACATTAGACACAGAGATTTTCATTTTTTTGTTCAAAACTAGATATTTCTAGCACAATAGAAAATAAAACACTACTGTGATATGCCTGGCTGCCAATTCATTTAGGGTACCAAGTGTTACTGGAAGCTGATGGTGCAGAGGGAGGGTATAAATTTTTCAAATTGGGCTAGGGAGATGGCTCA